CAATGCAAAAACTACCACAAAGGACAAAGGCACAATAAAACAAGATGACATAATTATAATAAATATCTATACACCGAATCAAACCCTAACAAAACTCAAGAAAGGAAAAGACAACACCACTAATGCAGGAGGAGACTTCAATATAACACTCTCAAGAAAAGACAGAACTACCAGATGCTGAAAAATTAAACTATACAATAAAACAACCTCAATCTCATAGATATGTACAGGAAAATGCACCCCCAGAAAAACACAGTATACCTTCTTGTCCAATGTGCATGGAGCATCCTCCAGAATAGATCACAGTTTAGTTCACAAAGCAAGCCTCAATGAACTAAAAAACATAGTAATAATACAAAGCTTCTTCTTAGACTACAATGCTACAAAATTAGACATTAATAACAAGATAAAGGACAAGGGAAAAATATATTTGGAAGATGAACACCACCATGTTTAAATATGTGTGGGTAATAGAAGAAATAAAAACTGAAATTAAAGTTTCTTGAAACAAGTAACAATCAAAACTTACCAAAACTTCTGGGAAACATACAAAGCAGTAATTAGAGGTCAATTTACAGCAATAAGCAAACACATCAAAAGGCAAGAAAAAATGATAATTGATTCCCTATCCCTGTTATATTTTAGAATTCCAATCATACATGTTATTCTTTTTCTGTCATCCCATATAATTCTAATATTTTCTTTATGACTCAGTTCTTTTCTTCTACTGTGTTTCCAAGGAGGTTTTTGTCTTCCAGATCATTCATTCACTCTACTCTGCTCCATCTCTTACTTTTTATCCTTCCAATGTGTTGGACACTTCTGCTATTTCAGTCTTAAAGTTCTGGATTCCATTTTCATGCCTTTCTGTTATTTCTATTACTCTGTTGGCAGTACCATCTCTATCATGTGATGATTTTTTTTCTACTTGTATCTCTTGTATCTATAGTTCAAATTCTTTCTTCCATTTTTAGCATTTTCTTCCATATTTTTGCAAGTTTCTCCTCATCAATATATTTCTTCTGGCTCTTTGTCTCTGGAGCATTTGCCTTCTTGTTGGTTTTCCATCATTTGTACCTTCTTCCTTAGCTGTTCAAATAACCCTGCACCAACATATTTTTTTCAGATTCTTTACCCCTAGGCTATTCCCTTTATCTGTGGCTTCTATTGTTTCTTCCATCATTTGTACTTATATTCATATCTGTTCGAAGGTCTTCATATCAACATATATCATCTGCCTTCTTGACTCTAGGGTATTCATGAGGTTTCTGATAGTTTCTGGTTTTGGTTTTATGGTGTTTTGGTTTGGGATGGGGTTTTTTTAAAAAAATACTTTTTTCACAGTTTTTGAAGCTGCTTGTTGCTTTCTTGACATTATATGAAGTTCTTGGTAAGTGTTAGGTCTTTACTGTTGTGTCTGCGAAAGCTGTTGGTGGTTCTTGTCTTTATAATGTACTAGTTAGTTGCCAAATTCTCACTCTGCTAAAAGTCCTTTCAGGGAAAATTTGCCTTTCCTAAAGTCCATGAAGTTCTCTCTGGCTTGCACTGCAGCCCTGTAGGAATCTCACCTTGAAGTAGTCCTTTGACATCAACTCTATAGGCCTCCTTCATATATTAAGTGGCTGAGTGGTGTGAGACCAGGTGCTCTACTCAAGCAATTTCCTTTTCTCTTGAAGCTTAATGCCTTCCTTTGTCTCTGGAGTGGCACACAATTAGAGATAGGGGTGGCCAGCTCAAGCAGCTTGCATGCAGGGGGTCTCAAGTCAACTCTCCCTCTCTCTTGCAGAGAGCTACAAAAATCCCTTCCCTCTGCCCGAAGTTCTGTGTACTAAAAGCTCTTGTCCTGTTTGGCCCCTGGGAGGGCCTCGAAGTTGCAGAGGGAAGGCCCCCAAGATGGAGGTACCTACAATCCCAGGGATACCATTTCTTGTTGTTTTATGGTGTCAAGTCAACTACAACTCACAGTAACCCTATGAACAATGGTCCTGAACCCTACTCTAACTTGTGCCATGCTCACCACCTCTGACTTGAGCCCACTGTTACAATCACAGGACCAATCCTTATTGTTGAGGGTCTGACCCCTCACCTTTCCAATCATGATGTTTTCTTCCAAGGACTACCCTCTCCTAATAAAATGGCCAAAGTATGTGAGATAAAACGTCATCACCCTTGCCTCCAAGGAGCACTTTCTCCAAGACATATCTGTTTGTTCTTTTGGCAGTCCATGAGACAGTCAGTACTCTTCTCCAATACCACATCTCAAAGGTATCAATTTTTTTGTCTTCCTTAGTAACTGTCCAACTTTCAGATGCATAACAACTAATTAAAAAAACATGGCTTTGAGTAGGGACATCTCAATCTTTACAAGGCTAAGATGTGCCTCTCTGTTCATCTCTGCTCTTTAGCATTTTGGAGAGGTCGTTGCCTGAAAACTTTCTCAATGTAGTATTATTTTTTTATTTCTTGACTACTTGTCCCAAGACTGCTGATTGTGGATCTAAAAGGAAGTCAGTGACAATTGCAATCTTTTCTTCAACTATCATGATGTTGCCTATTTAGCCCCTCACCATGTGGTGAGGATTTTTGTTTTCCTGATGTTGAAGATATAATCAATACTGAAGGCTGTAGTCTTTGATCTTCTGCTCCAAGCCTTATAATTAGGCTATCGTGTGTGTGTGTGTGTGTGTGTGCGCGTGTGTGCGCACACGCTAAAATAATAGAAATTGTAATTAAAGGTGTGTCCACCAAGAACAGAACTATTGTTTCACTAATAGTTAACACTAGTCTTAAACAACTCTTTGGAGACTATGTTGTTGTTATGTGCCATTGAGTCATCTGCGACTCATAACACCAAAGACTCAAAGCCTACCCTGTCCTAAGCCAGTCTCACTGACTCCAACATACCTACCTTCATTGTCCCAGTTACCATATCAATCCACCTCATCTGGGGTCTTCCTCCCCTACACTGTCCTTCCACCCTTCTTAGCAGTATGTCCTTCTCTAAGGACCAGTCCCTCCTGACTACATGCTCAAAGTATGAGATGGAGCTTCAAAATCCCAGCCTCCAAGGAGAAACTTGGTTTCACCCTCTCCAAGACAGACCTATTTGTGTTCTTGCTGGTTTATTACTTTTCTCCAGCACCACAACTCAAAGGCATCAATTCTTCTAACA